GGCCAGTCGAGTGTAACACCAGTGACCGTGAACGAACAGCAGTTTGTTGAGGTGTCTGAACTGAGAAACTGCAAAATCACTTGCCATCACAGCCTGAAAACAAGGAGGAGGAAGAAGAAGAAGAGGAGGAGGAGATTGGATTTATACCCTGCCCTTCACTACCCAAAGGAGTCTCAGAGCGGCTTACAAACTCCCTTCCCCTCCCCACAACAGACACCCTGTGAAGTAGGTGGGGCTGAGAGAGCTCTGACAGAAACTGCTCTTTTTCAAGAACAGCTCTTGTCAGAATTACAGCTTGCCCAAGGTCATCCAGCCAGGTGCAAGTGGAGGAGTGGGGAATCAAACCCGGTTCTCCCAGATTAGAGTCCGCGCACTTAACCACTACACCAAACTGGCACTAAGCATTACCAGCAACCCTCCCAAATTCCAAATGGTTGCTCAACTCAGCATGAGCCAGTGTGCTGCAGTTCCAAGCTAGGACCCAGGAGACCTGGGTTCAAGTCCCCACTTATCTGGCACTCCCATGTAAATCCATATGATTAGAACGGCCAGCCTCTCTCAGAAATACTCCCCCAACTAAAAAACTACATAAAAGATCCCTTTGGTATGCTGAGATTCCTTACAAAGGAAGCCAGATTGTCACAATCCCTTATTAATGCTGACAGATAGTTGCATTTCTGGCGCAGACCATTTTTAATTGATTATTAGACGCCTCTGGAGCAGTGACCCTCGACCCAAGACAGATGGGCAGAAGCAATTTCTGCTGTCAGAGTCTGGATACTGAGTCTGCTAGTCCCCATTCTTGTTCGTAAACATTAAGTGTTGATTCCCTGGGCCCACAGCCAACACCATTCCTAGTAGCAACATACCAAATTCTTGTAGAAAAAATAAAGCACCATGTTGGCCAGTCGAGTGTAACACCAGTGACCGTGAACGAACAGCAGTTTGTTGAGGTGTCTGAACTGAGAAACTGCAAAATCACTTGCCATCACAGCCTGAAAACAAGGAGGAGGAAGAAGAAGAAGAGGAGGAGGAGATTGGATTTATACCCTGCCCTTCACTTGGAGTCTCAGAGCGGCTTACAAACTCCTTTCCCTCCCCCTCCCCACAACAGACACCCTGTGAGATAGGTGGGGCTGAGAGAGCTCTGACAGAAACTGCTCTTTTCAAGAACACCTTTGACAGAACTATGGCTTGCCCAAGGTCATCCAGCAGGTGCAAGTGAAGGAGTGGGGAATCAAACCCAGTTCCCCCAGATTAGAGTCTGAGCACTTAACCACTACACCAAACTGGAGTGAAAGGCTACTACGACAGCAGAAAGGGCTACTACATTTATCTTGCCTGGAACCAGTTTCCTCGTTTAACCCTATCTCTGTCGGCCTACTTCTCAAAACAAAATAACCTGTTAGAGTTCTAACCTCTCTCCTCTTTTCCTTAGCCATCAAACCTCAGTAATCACTGGATCAGTAGATAAAGAAGTATTTACCAGTTAACCCACCCTCTCTGTCCTTCTGCCTCAACATCACATTCTCCATTATCTCTATACCTTCCTCAGCCGCTCTTCTTTCCTTCAACAATTCTCTCAGTTAACAATCATTATAATAATCAGGTATTTTTATTTTTATCAATCATTGAGTTATTTATTTCCAACAAAGACCCTCTAACTATTTATCCTTGGTCACTTTTTCCATTCATGGGAATGAACCATTCACGTAACCACGGGAACACGCTGCATTCACACTCATGAATTTTGGCCATTTTGGTGCCTCAGAGATTATGGAAATTGCGGTAACCTTGTGATTACTGTTCACACACATAACACTGCTCCAATAAGCCAATGATTTGCCTGAAGACAACATGTGCTCCTCAAGGAAGCACAGAATATCCAGAGGCTATTTAGCGAAGATGTTTCGTGAAGCTGTTCACAGGCATACAAATTTGGGAAATTTGATCTCAGGATACATTCTTCTAATAATGTGGTCTGATTTCTTAGAAACTAGAGCCTGGCAAGAGGGGGACTTGAAATGATTTGCAGGGGAAGGAAAATCCCACAACCTGAAGAGTGATTAACACATGGAATTCACTGCCACAGGAGGCGGTGGCGGCTACAAGCATGGATGGCTTCAAGGGGGAATTAGATAAGCATATGGGGCAGAGGTCCATCGGTGGCTATTAGCCACAAGGTACAGATAGGAACTCTCAATCTGGGGCAAGTGACGCTCTGTATTTTTGGTGCTGGGGGGGGGGCAATAGTGGGAGGGCTTCTAGTGTCCTGGCCCCACTGCTGGACCTCCTGATGGTACCCGGTATTTTTTGGCCACTGTGTGACAAGAGTGTTGGACTGGATGGGCCATTGGCCTGACCCAACATTGGCTTCTCTTATGTTCTTATGTTAACCTTCCTTGCCCCTGCTTCCTTCCGTCCTACTTGCTCCTCTCTAATGGAGCTTTTGCTTACTCCAACTCTCTCCCATTGAGAGAGTTCCCTCCATCCTAGTGCTGCTTTCTCCCTTCAGCTGCTCCTGACTTTAAAAAAAAACCAAACCAAACTTGTTGGATTTCACCAGATTTGCACAAACACCCCATCTTTCCATGCCTGCTCTCATGGTGCAGATTTTTTAATCTACACATTCGGAATCAGATATATGAAATAACACAGAGCTGTCTACCATATGGTTTCCAGGGCACTTATGACTCAACAGCTTGGCTCAGTGGTTGGTGACTTAGACCAAGAAACCGGGATCTGGATCCTTGCCTGAATGAAGCTCATTGGTTCTTCATGGACCAGTCACTCTCTCAGCCTAGCCTGGATTTACAGGGTTGTTTCTGAAGGTTAAAGACGGTAACTTCCATGTACCCTGATTAAAGTGAGGAATTTTTTAAAAATGCTATTCTGTGAACTTGGGGGCCTTTTGGCACAGGCCACTGAAATCTTAAGCTTTCAGATACACAGCCTTGGATCCCACTGACAAATATACTGGGCTTCATGGTTCCGAGTGAAATGGACCAATAAGCAACCCTGCTTCTTCTGACGGTTCCCTCAGTCCTTCCTACCTGCATGCCTTCTTGGCCAGAGATTCCAATTCCCACATCAGCAACCTGGATCATGCTGACGTCATTGGCACCATCACCTTCCCAGAAAGGGGGGAAAAATTCACATGAAAGAGGCTTTGGAGCACTGTACACAGATAATACTGAAAAGTATATTGTAAGTCAAATCCGAGCATCCAGTCTTATTGACATGTAGGTTGCAAGCAAGTAGGGTGTTATCACTAATGAAAAATGGTGGAGACGGTTGCATGCCTGCTAAGGGTCTAGCTACACATGACGTTCAATATATGTAACGGAATTCCATTGTCTTTCTTAAAAGAAAAACAGTATTGATTTCAGAACAAAGTTTGAGTCCAGCGGCACCTTTAAGACCAATAAAATTTTATTATTTATTTATCTATTTTATTTATACTTTCAATTTCTATACTGCTCAATCCCGGAGGCTCTGAGCGGTTTACAAGCATTTGAGTATAAGCTTTTGGGTGGATGCACCCAAAAGCTTATACCCAGAATAAAACATTGCTGGTCTTAAAGGGGCTTCCTGGACTCAAACTTCGTTCTGCTGCTTCAGGCCAACATGGCCACCCACCTGAATCAATATTGATTTCAAGCAAAGAAGTGGCAGATGACGGTGGCGCTTGACCTTCGCCCCTGCCCAACGTTTCTTTACTCCAGCTTGTACTTCTCCAGTGCCATTTCCCCCAGAAGTAAACAGCTTTTAAACTCTAATAAGCGAGTTATACATTCCTCCTTAAAAAGCAAAATGCATTGGAAGGGTCAAGGGGGCTTTTCTTCCTTCCAGACATTAGGGGGTGCTCACTTCTAATAGGCAAAGTGATTTTTATCATGCTTGCCCTTAGAACGTGCCTGCATAATAGGTCATTAGTACTTTGGCTGTGGAGCTGCCGTGGCTCAAGTGGTTAAGACGCTGAACTGCAGGCTGTGGAAGGTCAGTAGTTCGGCAGTTCGAGACCCGAGTGCTGCATGACGGAGTGAGCTCCTGTCTCTAGTTCCAGCTCCTGCCAACCTAGCAGGTCGAAAGCAAGAAATTGCAAGTAGATAAATAGGTACCGCTTCGGTGGGAAGGTAACAGCGTTCCGTGCACCTTGGCGTTTAGTCATGCTGGCCACATGACCACGGAAACGTCTACGGACAGCGCTGGCTCTTAAGCTTTGGAAACGGAGATGAGCACCGCAACCCTAGAGTTGGATTCGACTGGCTTTCGAGCAAGGGAACCTTTACCTTTACCTTTTACTTTGGCTGTATATGATCTTCTTTCCAGGAAAGCGTGAAGACATGTATCTGTTCAAAGGGACTGCCTGAGCAATTGATTTCCAAGGTGGCTTGCAATCACAAGGAATCTGTAATTTTTATAGATCGAAACATGGGCTTCACATGAAGGAGGAGGAGGAGGAGGAGATTGAATTTATACCCTGCCCTTCCCTCAGAGTCTCAGAGCAGCTTACAATCTCCTTCCCTTCCTCTCCCCACAACAGATATCCTGTGAGGTAGGGTGGGGCTGAGAGAGCACTGAGAGAACTGCTCTGAGAGAACTGTGGCTTGCCCAAGGTCACCCAACAGCTGCACGTGGAGGAGTGGGGAATCAAACCTGGTTCTCCCGAATCAGAGTCCGCGCTCTCAACCACTACACCAAACTAGCATACATGGTATGTAGCTCACCTCTTAGTGGTTTAGGCAGACACGGGGGACCTGGGCTTCTACAGCCTTTGTCCAGCTCTCTGGTGTTGCTACTGCTGGAAATGCCTACCCTATGCCAGTGGGGGCCGGGAACATGCGGGGATGGGACGTGTATGCTAGCGAGGGTTCCTGAGGTTGCCAGTTGTTGAGATGCAGAGAGACCATGAGACACAGAGCCCCCTGAGGAAGGGTGCTTTTGGGCAGTGCCACTTGTAACTCCTTCTGGTTGGTGGGGTTTCTCCTCTCCAGGACAGCTAGAATGTGGCTCCCAGTTCTGGTTGTGCATCTGCTGACTGGGGAGAGGACCACCCAGGCATGCTGGATCCTCCCTTCTTTACATAGTTCCAGGCAGCCACAGCCAACAGCTGAAACCCATTAGCATATTAGGCCGCAGCCCCATGTTGCCAGAAGTGTGGTCATCCAGCCACACCCACCTTTCCCTTCTTATTCTGTTTACCTTGTTTGTTGTCAAAACCCAGGGCCTTTTTTTGGAAGCAGGGACTCCTTTGCATATTAGGCCACACACCCCTACTGTAGCCAATCCTAATGAGTTTCTGCTGTTGGGTGTGGCCTATTATGCTAATGGGTTCCTGCTGGGTGTGGCCAACTCAGGAGCCAGCCGGAACTCTGTTCCTGTGCGTTCCTGCCCCAAAATAGCCCTGGTTCCATGACAATTTGGAAAGAGGAAACGATTCCTCTTGTGTCGCTTCCCCATAGCACACGGCATCACCCTGGGGCTGCCAGCTGTTCTGATCCAGGAACCAGAATATATTGTCATACACATGAAGGTCCTTTATGAGCAAAACTCTCCACTTGCTGCACTTGAGGAAGGCAACCCACATAGGCAACGCCAGGGAGATGCACACCAGAGTACTTGTAACCTGCACGAACTAGGGCAATCATCATCCCCATCATTATTATTATGAGCACAACTGCTTACGAGCTACCTACGCAGCTCACAGTTAACCCAAGTGCCCTAGAACTACTTCCCAAGTCAGTTTTCCAGTTATCAAAACACGGCACTTAGGCACCCCTACAAGACGGGTGACTCACCTACAGCCATAGTCATCACACCGAGATCCTTTCTCACCAGCTTCACCAGCTGGCTCTTCTGCAGGGGTGTCGCCCTGCAGCAGATGACGGCCCGCACCCGTGCCGTGAGCTGCAGGAATTTGGGCCGTGTCGTTTCGTGCAAGGCGAAGGCTAAGGTCGGTCCGTCTATAATCAGGCCAGCGCTGAGCTGGGGGATGTGGTCCACCGAAGTTCTGGGGACGTTCAAAATGTCTGTGATGCAGCTTCCTTTGGGATGGAGATTGACCTTCATTTCTTCTAAGATGTTTTCAATCAGCTGTTCACAGGCCTCCTGGATGGGAAAAGTGAGATAATAATTTGATCTTGGCTTCGGTGCATGAAATTGAGCAAACTCCGTAGGACGGCGGAAGACAGGAGGGCCTGGCATGAAGCGGTCCATGGGGTCGCGAAGAGTCGGATTGACTGTGCGACTGAACAACAACCAAAAAACGATGCCTTGGCAACAGCACACACTGCCCTGAGGCTGAAGGAATGAGCATGGGGTGTGTGTGTGGTGAGTTGAACATTACAACTCTGTACTTCCCCCTTTAAAACAAATCACACTGGATGAATTTTACAGCTTGTCATGTGTACACAATACGTTATGGGTGTTCTTTAACCAGAACCAGGGGTATGTATAGATTCACTGGAAAGTGGGGTGGGTAGAGAATGCGCTACAAAATGTTTTACTAGACCATCATAATGGGAGAAGTCATCATAATAATGAGGAATTTCACATTACCCTTTTTAACCCGTTTTGAAGCTGTTTTTGATCCGTCATGGAGTAAACCGGTATAGGGCTGCCATTTCACACATGGCTTTCCCCTTCCGGTAAAGAGCTGGATCTGAAGCGGTTCGCCATTTCAGACTGCACCGCTTTCCCCCCGCCATTTTTCACCTGTGCGGGCGATCTCCAGCTTTTTTTTTTTTAACATTTGCTTTAGAGCGCTATAGCACTATAACAAAACACTCCAGGCATTCCAATGAGGTTGATATAATGCTGTTGCGTTATACCGTTATAGTGCTATAAAGCAAATGTTCCCCCCACAAAAAAAAAGCCAGAGATCGCCCGCGCGGGCGAAAAACGCCGGGAAAAAGCGCATCGGAACCGGGAGAGGAAACCGAAGACTACTTGGAAGCGGTTGACAGGTAAAACGCTTCAGCCCCGTTTCCTAAACGGGACAGAAGCGTTTGTGTCTGAAATTACAAATACCGTATTTTTCGGACCATAAGACGCACCTGACCTTAAGACGCACCTAGTTTTTAAAGGAGGAAAACAGGGAAAAAAATATTTTGAACCTTCGGTCCATAAGACGCACTCACTTTTCCTCCCACTTTTTTTGGAAGAAAAAGTGAGTCTTATGGTCCAAAAAATACGGTATATTCTGATAGGGAACCGGTTCTAAAACGGTTCTGTCTGAAATGACAGACCAGAAACCGTTTGGGAACCATTCGTCTTCCGGATTATATCGTCTGTCTGAAATTCCTCTGTAACTTCTGTAACGCAGCTTGATCAAATGTTCAGGAAATGAGCCACAGGCTTGGTTTGGGCTTCATTTAGAGAAGGAGACCACACAGTAGCATCGAAAAATCCAGGCTTAAAGGAGACCCTGGAAATTTTTTATTTTTTAAAAAAAAATCTGATTCACGTGAGATACCAGTATGAAATCGTGCCTTCTGGGTTTTTTTCTTTTTTGCCATCAAACTGCAACTGATTTGTGGTGATCTCACAGGGCGTTTGAGGCGAGAGACAGTTCAGAGGCGGTTGGCCATGGCCTGCCTCTGCGTCACGACCCTGGACTTCCTTGGTGGTCCCCCATCCAAATACTAACCACGGCCAGCCCTGCTTAGCTTCCAAGATCGGGCTAGCCTGAGCGATCCAGGTGCCGCGTGTACAGATGTGCTAACTTCTAAATTATGGGGAAACAAAGAAACCCCAACTGCTAAAAAAAGGCACAACACACCAGGAGTTTCTCTTGCTTAACTGAAATAACTCTGAAATAAACAAGAGGTTAGCAGAAAATCATGCACAGTGAGATTCTAAGAACACATGTCTGAGAGTAAGTCCCACTGAGTAGACCTGTTTAGGACTGCTCACAAATTGTGCCAGGGGTAATAGGACTGGGAGCTGGATGTGAGCTAGTATCCTAAGACTGGTGAACCTGACAACCCCAGGCATTCACTAAACAGGGGGGGGGGGGGGGAGAGGGAGAGAGAACGCAGTCATCTTTGCTCCCGCTCTCCCTCCCTGTGCATTGAGTGAATGTGTGGGACTGCTGTGTGCACCAGTAGTAGTCTGGTGGTAGATTACTACCAGTAGTAGTCTACTTTCACAGTAATGCACAGTGTCCATGTCTCATCAAAGAAGTAGCTGGGAAAGAAGCATTATATGACAAATGATTTTTTTTAATGTGCTAGTCTAAATTCATCAGTGACACATCTGGGAAACCTGCATTTCTCATCTCCAGTGTCTGCAAAAAATCTTTTCCCTACTAATTTATAATATCCTTTCACTCTGTCTCACAGTCTGTTTTCACCTTCACTTCTTTTTTTAAAAAAATTATTTTTAACAAATTTTCAAAACATTACATAGATCATCATCTTAAGTTTTTCACATTTTTAGAGTTGTCCGTCTATAATTTACATCTTAATACAATTGGGAAGGCTCACCTTCTCACTAATACAAAGTTAATTCGTTTGACGTTCTATCCAGTCATATACCTTACACCACCTTTGATTTTGATATTTTTGGTCCTTATTTTGCAATATTTGGCTCAAATTATCCATTTGAGCTAACTCCAAAAGATTAGATACTAGGTCCTCTTTCGAGGGTAAATTATCCGTTTTCCAATTTCTCGCCACAAGTATACGTGCTGCAGTCACTATATATACTATCAGGTATTTATCTTGTTTTTTATAACCTCTGGGAATTATGTTCAGTAAATATATCTCAGGCACAAGTTCCACCTTTATATTCAAAATTTCATAAATAATTCTTTGCACCAATTTCCAAAATTTACGTAGCTTATAACAATTCCACCACATATGATAGAAGGTCCCCACATTTGCAACAGTTACTACCCATTTGAGGAAAACATTTTGCAATTTTGTCTGGGGACCAGTACCACCTGTGATACATTTTATAGATATTTTCTTTATAAGCTACCGCTCTCATAAATTTCATTGTTTGCCATATACTATCCCATTGGTCATCATCTATCTGTTTTCCCATATCTTGCATCCAAGATATCATTACCGCTTTAACGTTTTCGTCTAGCTCATATTCTTCTAACAAGAATCTATATAGTTTCTGAATTAATTTGTCACCTTCACTTCTTGAAGTCACCTTTAACAGTTATGCATAAGTCTTGTAAGAAACAACATCTCCCAAAACAGATTTGAAATAGAATCACATAACCTCAGTATATCCACCAGAGGGCATCATGTTCATATACAAAAAGGAACCGCCTTCCTTTTTTTTTTTTTGGAAGGCTGTTTTCTTTACCAAAGGACTGAACAGTTCCAAAGAGAGAGAGAAAAGATTTCTCTCCATCAGAAAGGCATAAGTAGATTAATTTTCTGGAATACTCTACGTAATGCCATTTTAATGAGATAATTCTCAGCACATTAGTGCTAATCAAGCTGGGCCGCAGGAAGATATGACAAAGAGCAACTTACAAAAAAATGACATTTGTTCCAATTTCCAAGACAAAAAGCCTTCTAATCTGTACGGCTAACGTAATTTACTGTCTAACTTTTTGAAAGGCATTTTACAAGCGCCGACTCAAATGTAGATCGTTCCAGAGGGCGGCCACGTCGGTGTGCAGAAGAACAGCTAGATTGGAGTCCGGCACCAACCTTAAGAGACCAACAAGATTCTTGGCACCTTCGAGAGCCAGAGCTCACTTCATCAGATACGACTCAGAATAGAGACCTCTGAGCACTTCTATCCCAATCGGAAAGCGGGAGGGGTGTTGCAAAGAAGGAATTCATGAGGCAGGGGTACCATGTGCATTGTAATCAGTTTGATTAGAGCCGAGGAGAAATGCCTAGGGGCGGGAAATGAGAGTCTGTAGTGAGATAAGAATCCTATGACCCTATTCGGGGGGCCTCCCCCCACCGTGTGTGGGGGTTTTCCATCGTTCTGAACTTGTGAACGAACTCCTGAATGAATGTACCATTACCTGCAGCGTTACTAGGGTCCTAGCAAACTACGGAGGGGAGGGGAGTTTCTGGGTTCCCTTGGGCCCAGCTAGTGGCTGCATGGGTCTGGGAGGTGATGACAAGCATAAGCTATCGCTGTTGCCTTCTCCCATCCTGCTCCTGGCCCTTTGGCTCTTACTCTGTGGCTTACAGCCTGTGACCCTTGAATGAGCCAGCTATGGAGTCCCAACCAGCCCAAGGAATGTTGTTCTTCTGTCTGTTTGATGTGTTTATCATGGGGTTTTTTTTGTTGCTGCTGTTAGCCATTTTGGCTTCCTTTGGAGAGAAGGTAAAGGTAAAGGTTCCCTTGCTCGAAAGCCAGTCGAGTCCGACCCTAGGGTTGCGGTGCTCATCTCCGTTTCAAAGCTGAAGAGCCAGCGCTGTCCGAAGACATTTCCGTGGTCATGTGGCCGGCATGACTAAACAACAAGGCGCATGGAATGCTGTTACCTTCCCACCAAAGCAGTACCTATTTATCTACTTGCAATTTCTTGCTTTCGAACTGGTAGGTTGGCAGGAGCTGGAACTAGAGACGGGAGCTCACTCCGTCATGCGGCAACCCGGGTCTTGAACTGCTGAACTACTGACCTTCCACAGCCTGCAGTTCAGCGTCTTAACCACTTGAGCCACCGCAGCTCCACATTGGAGAGCAAAGTGAGATATAAATACTTGAATAAAAGGACTGCGTTGCAGCAGTGCACTTGAATCGACAGAGGAAAGATTACAGCAGCCCAGACATTTTCACCTGACTATCAGACTTGAGAGTGAAGAGCTTGTCGACCGGTTCCAGTAATCTACAGGAATGGGCTACATTCACAGCAGTCTCCTGTTTATCACCCGTCAGCATCCAGATGGTGATCCCAGCTCTCCTGAGGGATGCTATGGTGTCTGGAACACCCTCTTGCAAGCGATCTTCAACCCCAGTGGCCCCTGTGACATCAATCACATGGATTTAAGAGAAAGAAAACAAACACATTAGAATGCTAGCTGTGGGTGTGTCAGCTAGCTGCCATAGAAGACTGTGTACCAATAGTCCTTCCCCCCCCCCCAAAACCGCTGCCAGGCATCTGCGCATGCCCTGTCTTCCCCGTGTATTGTCTTGTGCCATGCATTCCTGTCTGTAAACGCTAGGCAACGCTTATCTGCAAGGTTAACAGGTGTGTGGAGGAGCCGCTTCGCTTGAAGTATAATGAACTGCTACCGTGTGAAGCTGTAATTGTTTATGATTTAGGAAACGTTGATTCTCAGCCTTTTGAGCGCGAACCTAGGAACCTGCCCGCTCGGCGGGAACCAAGATCATTGGTGAATGCCCTTGCCCACCCTGGCCCAGGTATTCTGGACAGTGAACTTGTTCCTGCTCTATCATGGCTTTAATAAAATACTACTTTGTATAAACGTGTATTGGACTTATAGCTGTGGGGGACCGGACAGGGTGACAGTTACACCAAGTTGAGAAAAATTCGTGTTTCTCCTAAACAAAATATGGCAAAGCTTTGAAATCTCAGGTCATGATTAAGGGTGTGCAAAGAACCCCCCAAAACAGTATTTCTCAAGTCCAGATATACTGAACCCGAAAAATATTGGTATTTCCCAATATTACCGAATCCCAATACTGGTATGGCATTCGGATTCAGGAAATATTTGGGAAACCTGATTTTTTTTGGTCCCATTATACCCTATAGGGATCATTATAGTCAATGGTCCCCAACTCCATAGGGCATTTGGGGCTCTGTGCGGGGGACTGTTTTTTGAGGTAGTGGAACCAAATTTGCAGCAAAGCACCACATTTGCACCAAGTTTGCTCCTCACCCCCCCCCCAAGTTAAAAAAAGGTTGGACCAAAGGGTCCCATTCTATGGGCCCCTAAAGAAGTCGTGCGACTCTGTGGCGAGTGAACTCCGAAGGCATTTAAAGGGTTTGCAGTCCCTTTAAACATCTCCAAGAGGCAAGTTCACCCAGAAGGCATTTAAAGGGACTGCGAGCCCTTTAAACGCCTTCCGGGTGAACTCGCTGCAGAGTTGTGCAGCTTGGAGAAGGCATTTAAAGGCACCACAATCCCTTTAAACACTCTTTAAGTTCATCTATCTGGCAGTCCTGAAAATCCCAAAAATATGGGTGGCCCTGAAAATCCCTAAAAATGACTTGGCCATTTCTGATAGACGAACAATATCCAAAATCTATATCTAGTTTAATTGGGTATTTTTTCGGCTCAGATTTAGCCAAATGCATACCCCTAGTCACCATCCAAACCCATGCAAGTGGCCCGGTTCCCTAAGATTTCCAAAATGTTTTGATCACCAGGAGGCTTTTGCATTTAGGACTAATTTATGTGGTTTAACAAATCCAAACCCAAGGAACAGATTTTGTGTATGAATTTTTTTTGTGTGAAGACTTTGAGAAAAGAAGTCAGGAGGAAAACCCACAAAGATCAGGGCTGATTTTGCAGTATCGGAACATACATTTGTTGTATCTTGGTTTGATTTGTGAAGACACTGCAGTAATGACTCCAGCTGAAATCAGAGCAGCTGTGAAAGAACATGGGGCATTTATCATCCCTGTTTTTCAGTCAGTCTCTTTTTGGAAGAAAACAGGTGGGAAAGTTAGGCTAGAATCCTGTGCGGTATGTTCAGGTACAAATGGTTCATGACCAGTTGGCACCCTGAAATTGGACCTTGTCAGGCCATAACAGGATTTCAAAACTCAGGGGCTTTCACTGAGATGTGTCTGGGCTGTACCACTTCCAACCGCAGGTGGATGCTCAGAGAAATATTCCCTCCACATAGAAAACAATCAAGCTGGGGGGGCGGGGGGGGGGGGAGGAAGAAAGGTTCCAGCTTAAATTTTCTGCAAATGGCTATTTTTAATTTATGATGGAGCATTCCTTCCTGAATTGGAAGTGCATAAAACCAGACATGCCACTGGAAGGGGAAAAAATCACAAAACCATGACCGACTTATTTCAGCCATGTCATGTGGAAGAACTCACTAGAAAAAGCAATTGTGCTTGGATTGGTTAACGGCAAAAGGAAACCTGGCCTCCAAAGAACACAGTGGCTAGAAACCACAGAAGTCGACACCAGCCTGAGCAGGGAACAACTCAAAGAAACAGTACAAGATTGGAAAACGTGGGGAGAGCTGGCCCACAGAATCGCCAAGAGTTGAACACGACTGCATGGCTAACAACAACATTCCTTCCTGTCAGTCCTCGCATGCAATGTGACATGTTATTGCCTAGATACAGATTTACCACTTTGGTCAAATCAGGACTATGTCACCACAAGGGATTCTGGGTCCAACCCTGTGTTTGCAACATGTTTGACTGGCAGGTCACTTTAAAATGGGGAAATGCAGAAAGGCCAGTGAGCAGATCTAGGTGCCTCTCTCTCCCCCTACCCTTTCTTCCTGCAAAAAACTGAACTGGTGGGGGGAGGAGGGAGACTGGTGTACACCAGCAAAGAGAATTAACCTGTCATTTGCTGGCATGGTCTGACCTAGCTGGTTTTCCTACTGGATTTCAAATGTGAATCTACAGCACAGAGCCAGATCACAGAGGGTGAAACCCCCCCACTTTTCTTTCTGATTTGTCTCCATCACTGCTTTCTTTTTTTCTTTTTTTTTTAAATCTTTTTATCAATGTTATAATAACTTTGTAATAAACAGTTAACCACAATAGAAATATACAATGTAACAACTGCAAACTAGTACAATATAGTAAATGTTGCACAGTAGAATACGATATATATAGAACTCCGTTTAAAACTTTGTTTTTAACATTTTTAATCACCAAATCTCTTCTTGTTGTGACAAGTGTTATAATATTGGAATCCATATCGATATAAAATGAGATAGTGTTTCTTAAGAGAGTGTTTTGTCTAGATGATTTGCTATTTTAGCCATTACCTACAACTCCATCATTGCTTTCATGTCACTTCCCCCCACTCCAGGTTGGGGGAAAGCTAGAAAAAAGGACACTCAGTTCACAGTGACCCAGTGAGAGGGCGTGCTAGAGAGGCCCTGTCTGTTCACAGCTTCCCCCCATCCAAAGTGAGCGAGTTCCTTCTCTCACTTACGCTGTGCTCGCAGACTCCCCCTTGCCTTTTTGAAGCCACACTAAAACTGTACGATTGTTTGCTATGTCTAATACATAGCCTCAGGACCCAATATAATTTATTTTATACACGCCCACACATAATCTAGCAATATATAATATATTGTACTATATATTATACGTAGCTATTCCACTGGTGAAAAAGGAAGGAAGGGGTCCCCTTTGACCACCAAGAAGGCTATGCTGGGAAATAATAGGGTTTCCATGGAGAAAAGCCATATAGGGAAAGGATACTAATACGGAAGGGAACTGGCCAAGACTGAGTGAGCGGTGAAGCTTTCTTTTTCAGAAAATCTTTTTGCTCCTTCTTCCACCAAAGAACATGCTGTTGCTGTCAAAAGCAAATCTTGAATCCAGACTTGTGTCTCGACCGATGTACACTTCGATTAGATCGGAGTCTGTATTTTGAAGTATTTAGTAGAAAACATGGTTTTCCGACTCACCGAGCAAAGTTAAATTGGTCTCAAGCCTCAAGGCGGACTCAAGGAGCAGTTCCTCCCTGCTATCTATATCACTTTCAGCTACAAAATGCTCCTTTAACCACTCCTCGTACTCCGAGTCGCTCATTACCTGCAGAATCGGTAGACATGTGGACTTGTCAAAACAATACAAATTAAAATATCTGGAAAATCGCAAAACCGATGATTCTCATCAGTCAGTCAATCCAATACTGTATAAGTCATTTAAACATAATGACAGTTAAAAAGAAATGCTGTTCATAATCAGTCAGGACTGATGCTGTTACTTTCTCCAGAATTATGGGAGTTAGGAAAGCAACTGGAAACTTCAAGATTTATATGGCAATGAGACAAGCTTCCAGAGCCAAGACAGGGGAGTGCTTGCTGCTAAATGACAATTTAGATGCAGTGGGTGTTTCAGAAACATGGTGGAATTGGAGAAATCAATGGGATACAGTCATCCCCGGGTATAAGCTCTATAGGCAGGTCAGGGAAGGATGTGATGGGGGAAGCGTTGCAGTGTAGATCAAAGAAGGCATATGGTCAAATAGGTTAGAAAACATTACAGGAATGCTCTCTCCAACAGAAGTGATATGGGTGGAAATACTGAGTCCTAAAGGTTACTTAAAAATGGGGGTGTAGCATCCCCTATCGCAGCGGTTCTCAACCTGTGGGTCGCGACCCCTTTGGGGGTCGAACGACCCTTTCACAGGGGTTGCCTAAGACCATCGGAAAACAGTAGCAAAATTACAGTTATGAAGTAGCAACGAAAATAATTTTATGGTTGGGGGTCACCACAACATGAGGAACTGTATTAAAGGGTCACGGCATTAGGAAGGTTGAGAACCCTGTAGGATCAAACCCTTGAGGCTAATCTCGAGATGGAGAAGGAAATAACAGAGGTGACTAAAGGAGATGACGTTGTGATACTGGGTGACTTTGCCACCTGCACACTGACAGGATAAACGTGTGCTTGAGTTATAAAGGAGATTCCTAGACATCACAAATGACTGTGCACTGGAATAGCTGGTCACAGAGCCAACCAAAGGGGTAGTGACCTTGGATTTAGTTCTGGGCAGGGATCAAGACCTGGGAGGGAGGTAGAGGTTGCACCAGTTGGGAACAGGGGTGTGCGCGCGCACGAAATTGGTATTTTTTGGGTTCGTGTATACCAACCCCCCAAAAATATTGGTATTTATTTCTTTATAAATTGGATTTGCTAGGTCGCCCTTCCCTACAAGTAGGTCTTAGGGCGGCTTGCAACAGAATAATATACAATCTCAGATTAAAATAAGTTAGAACAGACCAATAAATACCAATATATAAAACAACTTAACCAAAAAATGGCAAAAATACAACATATGTAAGATGGCGGATAAAGTTCCAACACCCCAGCCTCCCTGTGGGGGAGGGGTGACGAGGGATAGGGACTTGTGTGAGAGTGCTAAAGAATGCCCCCGTATATACCAATATTCCCAAATCCCAATATTGGCATGATACTGGGATTGGGGAAATAATCGATATTGCCAAATTTGACCTGCTCCATACCTCCCCTCCCCTCCCAGAGTTGCCTCAGTGATAGGAGCAGGGCTATTTTTCGGCAGGAACGCACAGGAACACACAAGGTATAGCTAGGGGCTCTGGGGCAAGTGATGCTCTGTCTTCTTGGTGCTTGGGGGGGGTCAACAGTGGGAGGGCTTCTAATGTCCTGGCCCCACTGGTGGACCTTCTGATGGCACTGGTATTTCTGGCCACTGTGTGACACAGAGTGTTGGACTGGAGGGGCCTTTGGCCTGATCCAACATTGGCGTCTCTTATGTTCTTAGTTCCGGCTGGCTCCCACGTTGGCCACACCCAGCAGGCAGGAACTCATTAGCATAATAGGCCACACCCAACAGCAGAAACTCATTAGGATTGGCTACGTTAGGGGTGTGTGGCCTAACATGCAAAGGAGTTCCTGCTACAAAAAAGCCCTGGGTTTTGGCAACAAACAAGGTAAACTGAATAGCAAGCAAAAGGTGGGTGTGGCTGGATAACCACACTTCTGGTAATATGGGAGTGCGGCCTAATGCGCTAATGAGCAGTGCTGTCAGGGGTGTGGCCCAATATGCTAATGAGTTCCTGCTGTTGGGTGTGGCCTATTATGCTAATGAGTTCCTGCTGGGCTTTTTCTACAAAAAGAGCCCTGGATAGGAGGGAAGGCATTTAAGGCATTTAAAGAGACCCCATGTCCGTACAAGTGGCTTCTCTGTTGTGGCCCCCATTTTATGGAACTGTCTGCCCGAGGGGGTCAGGAAGGTCCCCGCTCTCCTGGCTTTTCTGCACACCATGCACAACTGATGATCCAAGAGGGTTTCTCTACGCAGGCAGTGGCCTTGCAGTGTGCTAAGAGATTCACAGAGTTCCTTAGGGACGGTGGTCTATACTACCACATATAGGCTTGCTGACACCAGGATCCCGCTATGGAATTTTGCATCATTGGATGTGTCATGTTAGTACTTATGCTTTACTTCTGGTTTTTAGACTTCTGGTTGGTTCTACAACCCGAATCCTATTGCATTGTTTGCTGAATGTCCCACCCGTCAATGGTCTTTTCAGGGCTCTTTTTGTAGAAAAAGCCCAGCAGGAACTTATTAGCATAATAGGCCACACCCAACAGCAGGAACTCATTAGCATATTGGGCCACACCCCTGACAGCACAGCTCATTAGCACATTAGGTCACACCCACATGTTACCAGAAGTGTGGCCATCCAGCCACACCCACCTTTTGCTTGTTATTCTGTTTACCTTGTTTGTTGTCCAAACCCAGGGCTTTTTTTTTTAGCAGGAACTCCTTTGCATGTTAGGCCACGCACCCCTAATGTAGCCAACCCTAATGAGTTTCCGCTGTTGGGTGTGGCCTATTATGCTAATGAGTTCCTGCTGGGCGTGGCCAACTTGGGAGCCAGCCGGGACTCCGTTCCTGTGCGTTCCTGCCCAAAAATAGCCCTGGTCTTGACTCACTCTGTGAGAAAGGTAGACGATGAACAACACAAATAAATAATTAAATAAAAATAAAAATAAAATGGAGAGCTGTCCTGCCACTGCAGTGAATGGATTCTCCATCTGTTCTCTGAATAGGAACTGTGCCCCTGTGCTTCCAGATCAGGTACTGCCACAGGGACCGTGCCGCGGTTGCTCACCAGTGTCTCTGAATTAGATTTTCAGCTTGGGAAAAGATACCTACCTAATACAAAGGCTGCCTTATCCTGACAAGAGTAAAACAATTGTTTTCTCAGCTTTCTACTATTGTCTTACCTTTGAAGCTACACAGAGAGTGCGCAGCCCTTTCCTGGCATATTCATTTAAGTGTCTCTGAGTTTTTTCCTTAATTCTGTGCTTTCGCATATCTACCTTTTTAATACCTGAGGATTAAAAGGAATAAGCAAATACATATGTAATACACCAAACGTATTAATAGCCTTTGCAAACTAGATCAATTAATCCTAAACAGAATTAACCCTTCTAAATCCCCTGAAGTCAAGGGGATTAGGAGATAACAATGTAAGTGCTTTTCTAATTTAAGACAAAAATACTTACACTGAACATTGTCTACTGACGCAATATGCTTTGGGCCCTCTCAAGAGATGGTTCCGCGACGATCAAGGATGAGGCTTTGCAAGAGAAAGCAGGGTTTACTGCTTCCAGTGTCAGGTTTTAGTGGTCATTGTTTAAGCTGTATTTTTCTTTCTTATAATGTATCCTACTTTTTAAACCTACTGGGACCACAAAGTAGCTTGCCCAAATGAAAAACAGTGATAAAAGTCAGACAACCAGCTACAATTGACCAAGTAAATAACCGATAGTAGGGGGAAATGCAGTGTGTAAACCCCGAGCCGGCAACAGAACAGTCGTCCATTAATTCCAAAAGCCTCTGCAATGAAACTGATTTTTAAAAAGGCTCACACAGGAGGAAGACAAACCTCCTCCAGGGAGGTACTTCCTTCAACCTCGTTGCTACCGAAGAAAAACTGATGTCCCCTGTTTCATTGTGGGGGAATCGGGAGCAGAGCATTTCTAGATTACTTCCATGCATAAAGAAGGTGGTAGGGCACAGTCTCTCAGAGGGTTCACTCACATAAGCTCCAAAGAAATGAATGAGAACTGCGTAGGGGTATTCTGTACCTATTCCTTCATTCAATAATTACAGAAGGTGTTGCCATTTGGATTTTGGATAGCAAGTGTGAATTGCCTCCACATCACTAGGCAAAGACATTGTGGTAAACTGAAAAAGGGTTACACAGGAGTCTTGGTAGCACCTTAAAGGTGAACAAACGTCGTTTCACCATGCGCTTTAGTGGGTCAGAGCTTGCAAACGAAATAAATTTTGTTAGTCTTTGAGGTGCTATTAGACTCCTATCCAGTTTTGCTACAACAAACGGACACGGCTGCCCACCTGAAAAAGAGTGGTATCCTCCCTGCTTAGGCCTCTTGATATCAAAAAGGGGAGCGGTGGCACAGAGGATTTATCCTCTGGTTAACATCTGAACTGAACAGAGTTGCTGTCAGTTCTAGCCCCGCGCTGGTGTGAGCTACCAGCCTTGTCCCCAGCTCGCCGTCCACCCAGCGGTTCGAAAGCTTTGGCGAGTAGATAAAATGGGTACCACTCCTTAGAGAGGGTGGGCAAACTAAACCCCCATAGGGGAAGGGTTAGCTGGAGAATGGAATGTCCAGCTCGTAAGCTCGTAAGCCTGATAAAAAGATCTCCGGCATTAAGAAGCCTGTAATGGGCCAACCCGGCCAGGCGGTGGCAGTGCGGCGCTACGATTCAAAGCAGCCCAGGAAGAACCAACGTCATCAACCCAAGCCGAAAAGCGAATGCCTCCGGAACACGTCTGAAGCCTACAGCTGAACAAAAAATCCCCGTCGGCTGCAAAATGTGTGCGATTTAAAAGAATTATATGTTGTCCTCCTTTACCCCTATGAAATTGTTAGTCCCTTGTGTGAAACCGTGTAACTGTAAATCACTCAGAGCCAGCAGCTCTGCCGGATTGAGCAATCAATAAATCGAAAGGTATTATTATTATTATTATTATTATTATTATTATTATTATTATTATTATTATTATTATTATTATATCATAGGTAAGTTATTTAGAGCAGGTCCCCCAGCCTTTTTGAGCCACTGGGCACATTTGGGATTCTGATACGGCACGATGGGCGCAGCAACAAAACAGCTGCCACAGAAGGGCTGCGAAAGGAGGCGGAGCCAGCCACAACACGGAGCAAATCCCTGAGCTGTGACAGCAGCTGTTGCCAAAGCAATATTAAAAAAATAACCTGCATAGCCAATCAAATCTCCAGTAGTTCATCAGAAGCCTTGCTGAGCAGAAGTCCTATTTGGCCCCAACCAATTCTTAACAATACTTGGTAGGCGCCAGGAAACTTTTGGCGGGCACCACGATGCCCACTGGAACCTCGATGAGGACTCCTGTGCTACAGATATGAATGGGCATGGAGGCCGGCCAACACTGCTGTGGGCTAGTGATCCTTGTTGACTTATTTGCAAGATTGGATCAAGCACTTATATTTCATACAACACTAGGGGATAGAGGTCCTCTTTCCTAGTGGAGCTGCGGTGGCTCAAGTGGTTAAGACGCTGAACTGCAGGCTGTGGAAGGTCGGTAGTTCAGCAGTTCGAGACCCGGGTGCCGCAAGACGGAGTGAGCTCCCGTCTCTAGTTCCAGCTCCTGCCAACCAAGCAGTTCGAAAGCAAGAAATTGCAAGTAGATAAATAGGTACCACTTTGGTGGGAAGGCAACAGCGTTCCGTGCACCTTGGTGTTTAGTCATGCCGGCCACATGACCACGGAAACGTCTTTGGACAGCGCTGGCTCTTCGGCTTGGAAACCCTAGAGTCAGACTCGACTGGCTTTCGAGCAAGGGAACCTTTACCTTTACCTTCCTACTGGAGGACAGGCCAGTTGCTCCCTGGGGAGGGTCAGCTTAGGGTTGCCAAGTCCATCTTCCACCCCCAGCGGGGGACTTTGGGGGCGTTCCTGGAGGGGGCGGGGCATCCCCAATGTGATGACATCACGTTGGGGACGTCCGCCGCCCCCCACCCACGCGCCAGATCTCCAGAAACGGCAGTTTCCTGCACTTAAAGGAGCCGGCGTTTCCCTTTTAAATGCAGGAGCCAGCATTTCCCCATTAAGAGCAGCCGCATTTCCCTTTTAAGAGCATGAAGCTGGCATTTCCTTGCAAGCTTGCAGAGATCATTCTTGGGAGAAAACACGGGTTCCACATACTTAAAGGGAGAGAGATGGGTGGCTGTGGGTGTTGGGGTTTCCCCCGCCGGCCATCTGGCCGGCGGCGGGTAGAACCCCCCCAAAAAAACCGGGGGACCCCTGGCAAACCAGGGAGGTTGGCAACCCTAGGTCAGCTGCATTTCTCCATGGGGGGGGGGAATGCTGTTGGAAAAGCTTAACAAAAAGCTTTGAGACTTCCACTGTTCATTGGGACAGGACCAGAAAAATCTGGTCATTACTCATTTGTTTGAAGATTTATAACCTGCTTTTCAAAGGATGAGGAGAGAGCGAGCAACACTATTCTCAAAGCAGATAACATCTCTCTCTCTCTCCTATTAGGTGCCCCCCCCATCTGCGGATACCTAAATCCATGGATGAGGGCCACACTAACGTTAAACAGATTTTCCTGTGAACTTAGGAGACTCTCCAAGTTTGCAAAAGGTCTGAAGTCCAAAATAAAATACCATAGGGGGTTTAAATCCCTCCCAATATAATTGCATTGTCTGTGCATGCGCAGACAACACACTTATAGAAGTACTTGCGTTTGGTGGTGGCTGCTGGGCACTGCCTTCAGACCAGCAGCCGCAGTTACCACTCCAGGCCTGGCAACGGCAGAAGCCAGCCACCGCTGTGGACCTGGACGTGGTGGAGGAGGACGCTGGCATCCGCTGTGGACCCAGCCACAACAGAGGAAGATACCTGGTAGTCCCTGGCCCTAGGGACGTCTGATTTGCCTTAACTAGAGCCAGGGCCTTTTCGGCTCTGGCCCCTGCCTGGTGGACTGAGCTGCCTTATGAGAGCAGGGCCCTGCGGGACCTGTTACGGTTCTGCGGGGCCTGCAAGACGGAGCTCTTCCGCCGGGCCTTTAGTTGAGGCAGCGGGCATCCACATTGATCTGGCCTTCCCTCCATCCTAGAAGCCAGATGGGGACCACAATATTATCTGTAGAGGTGTGCTGTTGTTTTCGTCTGTTGGTGATTTTACTGGTTTTCATGGATTGTTATAATATGCTTTAATTGTAACCTGCATTCATTGCGGACCCATATGTTGGTACCCACCCTGAGCCTACAATGTGGGGAGGGCGGGATAGAAGTCTAATAAAAATTTTTAAAATTAATAATTACAGCAATAAGTGGCTTTTTAACTAGATGTTACTAACGACCAGGTGTCATTTCGTAGAAAAAGAGCTAGGGGAACTCATTAGCATAACTCATTAGCATATGCCACACCCCCTGACATCAGGGGCCCGGCGGTGGACCTGCAAGGCCGGCGGGAGTGCAAGGAAGCCCCGCCAAGGCCCTCCCTGGCCCCAGGCAGGCAGGGGTGGGGAGAGGCAGGGAGGAAGCAACTTACCCTCCCTCTTCTCCTGCCTTCTCCTGGCTGAATGAGGGCTGGAAGTGGGGCGGCCGGAAGCAGGGGGCGGGTCTTCGTCATGTGCCCTGCCCCCCCTGCACCTCGCCCGGGGGAACTGCGTTCCCCCGCGTTCCCCCCCGAAATGACCTCTGCTAACGACATTTTTAAAGGACCCTTATACAAGTGGCTGTTTCTCACATGACACACACCGTTAACTAGATTTATGATTTAAAAAACAACCGCCGCCAATTGCATTAAGTGAAACAGTCGCCTCCTTTTAGAAAGCCAGCCAAGGCGTCATCCGTACCTGTGTGTTCCGCCCGCAGCGAATCCATTATGACGGAATCCGCCCCTTTCGTGTACACCACGACTTTTTTCAAGATAGGGTGCCTCACCACTACCGACATCCGTTTCCGTAAGGCGTCGAAAGGCAGGATGTGCAACAACTGAAATGTTAAAATCCCTAAAGGGCCAAAGTCTATCGTAACCTGATCGGGACTCCTTGACTGTAAAGTACATGAGTATGCTCTGGCGGCGTGAACCAGGGCGGCTTCATCAGGACTCTCCGCCTCGTAGCACAGCTGAGATTCTTCAGATGGCTGAGACAGAGTTCCAGGAGCGGAGGCAGAATTTATCTCCAGGGATTCTTCTTGCGTTGGTACAGCAAGGCTTGAGTCAACAGGGGATTCCGTTTCACCTGGAGGGGACAGAACCTGTGCTTCAGAAACTTCCAACATTTGCGTACCATTCCTGGGGCTCTCGGACGGTGGAACTCTGGAACCTGCACTCGGTGCCGGCGAGGAGCTCAGTTTCCGGATGCTCAACTTGTCTAAGATCTTTCTAAATTCATCCAGAGGTAGAATGGGTATTCTAGCAAGTGAAGGCCAAAGCCTCTGCAAGAGAGTAATTTCAGAAAGAAACAGTCACAGCGGGGTACAATCCATGTTCTTAATGCAGAAGATATTGGCAAGCCCTTGGATCACTGCCAAAGCAGCTAAATGTGATCTGCAGCAGGGAACCCAGGAACGCTCTCTATTTATCCCGAGTCCCCGAGGAAAATTAAAAGTTCAGCTTTGGAACTGCGTTGCAGTGGGCTGAGGAAGAACAAGCCGAGGCTGAAATCCAGACAAGACAGAGGGAAGGCCAGCTGGGAAGGCCGGTGCTTGGGAGGGACTGGAACCACCTGTCTAGGATGGAGTGGTCTTGGCATTCGCAAGAGCCGCTTCAGAGCTTGGGGGTGCTCATGGACCCAGCGGGCTGGTATCGTGGCCTTGTAGCAGCTGCATTCGGTTCACTAACTCCCCCAACGGTTCAGCTGGACCCACACTGTGCTGCCTTTGAAGACAACCCAGAAACTACAACTGGTTCAAAAAGCAGCGGCCTGACTAATTGGCAGGAACTAGATGATGGGAACACATCTCGTCTGTTTCCGAAGAACTACATTGGCTGCCAGTTTGTTTCTGAGTTCACAATTCAAGGAGCTTCCCACATATCTGAAGTGCCACCTCTCCCCATACGGTAGCTGTAGCCTTCTAGTTGCCCTCTTCTGCCTGTTCCTCTGCTTGGGAGCCAGTATGGTGTAGTGGTTAAGTGCGTGGACTCTACTCCTCCACTCACAGCTGCTGGATGACCTAGGGAAGTTTCTGTCAGAGCTCTCTCAGCCCCACCTACCTCACACGGTGTCTGTTGTGGGGAGGGGAAGGGAAAGGAGTTTGTAAGCTGCAAGCTGCTCTGAGACTCCGAGTGAAGGGCGGGGTATAAATCCTATCTCTTCTTCTTCTTCTTTGTATGGTGTCCTGCTTGGCACCTACTAAAGCCTCCTCTACAGTGGCTCCCACATGGTGGAATGTGGGGAAGTGAGGGGGACACTGTAGGATAAGTTTTTAGGAAAAATTATAAAGTCATTTTCTTTACCAGGGTTTCCCCGTGAGGTTTAAGCTGCAGGTGTCTGGGGACGAGGGGTGTTAATGGAGTTTTATTGCATTGTGCATATTTCTAATCTTGGAAGTGCAAGCGGCCTTGAGAAACAAGAGAAAGGTGGGGTACAAACGTTTCAACAAATAACAGTGCAATCCTAAACAGAGTTACCCCCTTCTAAGCCCACTAACTTCAACTGAATTAATAAGGGTATGACTCTGGTGAGGACTGCACTGAAAATGATCCATAGGTTTAAGATCCTTTTTTTGAAAAAAATACAAAAATATTTATTTGGTTTGCAGAAATACAACATACGAATGTCACAAGCACAAATCCAGTCAAACTGCACAACACAACCAAACCACACAGTGTGATATGCATAAATGTATAAAATTAATCACCCACAAATCAACCTCCACCCAGAGTACTACGGTTTAATCACAAGTAAAATCACAGTCTATGACTCAGACTAGTAAAGGCTTCAACTATTATTTATAGTTATTCTAAAATTATGTTAAAAATAGATGAAATCATGATAGTGTGGATTTTTTTTTTTGGCAAGGTGTTATTGTCCATTAAATACTGAACTATGGGGTACCAAATCTCCACCATTTTCCTGTAGGCGTGGTCTACAGTATAGGGGTTTGAATACATTGAAATCTTACTTAGAATGAAATACTCCCCTAATTTCTCTCCCCATTCTGACAACAGAGCAATATATGGGCTTTTCCATTTTAATGCTAATAATATTCTCGTGGCGGTCAATAACATCAAAATAGTCTGTTTTTCTCTTTTATTACAGGAAGGATCTGATTAGGACTGCACTGAAAATGATTCTCAGGTTTAAGATCTTAACAGTACTTGGATTTTTAACAAAGTTAAAAAAAAAAATCCAAGCTCCAATGAGCTTCCAGTACAAATCTGAGAGAAGAAGCAAAGTATACGTACTCAGACTGTATTATAACTGGGGAGGAATTTGGAGAATTAAGCAGTTTCCCCAACAAAGTAAGGTTTATTCAGTATAATGATTTTTCTTTGTGAGCACACTCCATCATAAGCTTTTCTAAAATAAACATTCATCTGAAGGCAGACTTAAGGGAGACTTTCCACCCTCCTAACGTACACAATACTATGCATACAGTGACAAGCAGATGTCAACATCCCTGAATGCCAACCTCCAAATCTAGGTTTGCTTTTAATTATTATTTTCACACATTCAGAGGTATTTTTTGCGTGCCTTCGCAGGAAAGCCTGATTTTATGTATTTACTATTAAATGCACATATGCTCTTTGCTTTCCACCAAAACGGAGTCCCCAAATTGTCTCAGCCTTTTAAAATTGATGTAAAACATGAAACAGCAATAAAAATAAATTTTAAAGCAGTGTAGAAATAGATAAAATTATCAGCAAAGAACACTCAAAAGCAAAGAAAGCACATTTTCCACAAACACACAGACTGTCAGATTTGTAATGCGCCATTTGTTGAAACAAACAAAAAGATGACCCTGTCTTCCTAATTTAAATCTACCACCTCCCTCATAAAGGTAAAGGTTTCCCTTGCTCAAAAGCCAGTCGAATCCGACTCTAGGTGGCGGTGCTCATCTCCATTTCCAAGCCAAAGAGCCAGCGTTGTCTGAAGATGTCTCCGTGGTCATGTGGCTGGCACGGAATGCTGTTACCTTCCTACTGAAGCGGTACTTATTTATCTACTTGCAATTTCTTGCTTTCAAACTGCTAGGTCGGGAGAAGGTGGGACGAGAGATGGGAGCTCACTCTGTCACGCAGCACTCAGGGCTCGAACTGCTGAACTACTGACCTTCCAGTCTGCAGTTCAGCGTCTTAACCACCGAGCCACCCCATACAAACCACTAAACAAACAAAACAAAGAAAATACAATCTGACTAAACAAACAAAAAAAAGAAAATACCCAATTCAAGTTTTACTTTGTGCCTAACTTTTTTTTACTGGCTGTGCATTGCATAGAAAGTCACTGAACCATGCAGTTGAACTGCAATACTGATTTCTTTCCCACAAGCAAACATGTCAAGCTGACAGAGGAGAAAGATAATCGTTTATAAAAGACAGTCCTTGTTCTCTCTCCATGCAAACAACCACAAGGCACCAGGGGAAAAAAAGGTTATTAAGATTCTGCAGCAGGCTGAGGTGTGCTACAGAGGACCACGGGTTTTCCGCCACCGCCCCTCACCTTCTGACTCGGTTGACTAGGTGTTGAAACGACGACAGTGTTGCAAATTGCCAGAGCGATGAAAAACTCAGTGATGTACACTGTCTCGGAGGTCATATGCTCCATCATGGAGCGTGCGTAGACACGGTGAGAGATGTGACTAAATTTCTGCAGTAGCATTATGTCGGGCACAACTTCAGTCTCCTGTTGGTTTGTAAAAAATAAGAATACGGTTCTTTCATTAACTACATGTTGTGGACAATTACCTTAAAATGTGGTAGGAGAAGGGTTGCGTCGCCCCGATCTGGACGGCACAGGCTAGCCCGATCTCACCAGACCTTGACAGCTAAGCAAGGCCAGCCCTAGGATAGTATTTGGATGGGAGACCCTCCAAGGAACGCCAGGGTTGCTGTACAAAAGCAGGCAACCGGCAAACCTCCTCCGAACGTCTCTTGCCTTGAAAACCTCACGAGCTGGCTGAGACTCGATGACATCTTCTCCCACCAGTAGAGTTGTGTTACTGGTAGGCCCAGTCGGAAAGTGGAGACAAGAAAGCCGGCGTTCCTCCTCTGGGCACAACTTCAGTCTCCTGTTGGTTTGTAAAAAATAAGAACAATACGGTTCTTTCATTAACTACATGCTGTGGACAATTACCTTAAGATGTGGTAGGAAAAGGGTTGCGTCGCCCCGATCTGGCTAGCCCGATCTCACCAGACCTGGAAAGCTAAGCACGGTCAGCCCTAGGATAGTATTTGGGTGGGAGACCCTCCAAGGAACGCCAGGGTTGCTGTACAAAAGCAGGCAACCGGCAAACCTCCTCTGTACGTCTCGTGCCTTGAAAACCCCACGAGCTGGCTGAGACTCGACGGCATCTTCTCCCACCAGTAGAGTTGTGTTACTGGTAGGCCCAGTCGGAAAGTGGAGACAAGAAAGCCGGCGTTCCTCCTCTGCCACTGCTTTTACAACCATCCCCTGGGCAGAGTCAATTGGGGCAATCGCTGTAGGGAGGGCCCCAGGCTTCCATGCCTTGAAGAAGCTGGGTGGAGGTAGAGCAGCACACTGCCCAGGTGACCGGCAGCAGCCCGGCAACAGAAGCCTCACGAGGCTGGAGAGGGATGGAACCCGACTACATTTAACAGGAATCGCCCCCATGGCAATCACCAAAGACAACAAAAGCGGGCAGACCAGGGGCGGATTAAGGCTCACTGGTGCCCTAAGCACTGACCAGTCTTGGTGCCCCCCTGTATAGGATAGCCCACCCAAGCCAGTCCAGGGATGAGGGGAAGCCTGTACTTTTTGCAATACATTAAACAACAACCCACAGAGGTAGGCTACCCTCTCTGGGTTCAGAACAATATGCCACCAGAACCTCTACAATAATCCCCCTCCCAATCTGAGATTAGAGGTTCAAAATCTCAGTTGGCATCTAGGGCTTAACACATTAGCACCTCATTCCCAGAGAGGCACACTGAATGCTCTACGGTAGCTTGTGGTCAGTTAGGCACACGAAATAGACTTGGAATCCCAGTTACAACATCAAAGACAGGTTAGAAATAAGAATACGTTTTTATTCAGTCCAGAGCATTGCAAGTAAACCATGAAAGATTTCAAAACAAGAAAGGCTAGGGCTGTTTGCCTTAACTACACAATAAAAGACGCGTATTTATCAAGTTCAGGAAAATCCAAACAGTCCAGAGTAGCACCAAGTCCATTTTAGTTGTTGACCTGTCTGACCAACTATACAGTGCAGCTTGCAGCAATACAAAAACTTAATTCATATGATGACACAACAATATACTGTACAAACTAAGCTTTTCACCCTTTTCCCAACTTTGTGGTGCCCCCTTCGGCCCTGGTGCCCTAAGCACACGCCTAGTCTGCTTAATGGTTAATCTGTCCCTGAGGCAGGATTCTCTGCATACGCAGAAATGTAATCAAAAGGAATTAACCCGAGGAAAAGAAAAATGTCCTGAGGAAGTCCGGAAAACGCCCCAGGAGCCATGGGATGCTGGAAAAGGTTGAGAGTCAGTTAAAAGAGGAAGGGGAGGGGAGTATTTTGCGAGATGCTAAGAGCTGATAAATCCTGGAGGAAGAGATTTGGAGGGTGGGCGGGATCCTGCATATTGTTTCCCCAACCTGCTATTCCTCGTGGGCTCCCGGCTTGTCATACCCTCGAATGTGCAGATAACAACAGTGGCAGAATGGAGATTACCAGTTGGGGTTGCCTGGCCACCAGCAGGGAGGTGGTGGGGGCCTAGGGTTGCCAACTCCAGGTTGGGAGATTCCTGGAGATTTGGGAGTGGAGCCTAAGGAAGGCAGGGACTCCAGTGGGGCACACTGCCATAGAGTCCATCCTCTGATGCATCCATTTTCTCCAGGGGAAGTGATCTCTGTAGTCTGGAGATGAGCTGTGATCCCAGGGGATCCCCAGGTCCCACCTGGAGGCTGGCATCTCTACCGCCCAGCCACTTTATTTCACTTGCCATTCCAGAGAAGGGGGGGGGGGAATCAATTCCCCACTGGTCACCCATTGCTACTCTTTACAGTGGATAGATTTCCTAAGCAGGAAACCTCCTCAATCACCAAAAGAGGAATTGCTCCCTGTTGGCCAGGCAGGCAGGAAAGCTTCCCCCCCCCAAAATCTCTGCTGTTTAAATCACTAATAGATACGAATGAGCAGGTAAGCTAGTCACCAGGGTAGATTTGGAGGTATTTTGGTGGCAGGATTATTTAGTTTTAAACTTAATTCTTTAAGAGAGCCAGTTTGGTGTAGCGGTTAAGTGTGCGGCCTCTAATCTGGGAGAACAGGGTTTGATTCCCCACTCCTCCACTTGCACCTGCTGGATGACCTTGGGCAAGCCGTGTTCTTGAAAAAGGGCAGTTTCTGTCAGAGCTCTCTCAGCCCCACCTACATCACAGGGTGTCTGTTATGGGGAGGGGAAGGGAAAGGAGTTTGTAAGCCGCTCTGAGACACCTTTGGGTAGTGAAGGGCGGGGTATAAATCCAATCTCTTCTTCTTCTAAGCATTATAAGCTGCCTTGAGCTACTAGGAAAGGTGGGGCAAGAGTATTTTATTAAGTAAACAGATAGCATTAAAAGAAATGTACAAGGCTGAATTTGATCTGTGGGGCACTTACCATGGGGCTGCTGAAGGCCAGTTGCCTCATGTGGCACGATCCCATCACAAAGCTGCTGCTTCCATGCCCCCGGTGCAAAGACCGGCTACTCAGAAATGTATTTATGTGGGACATCTTCACTCTCGACACGTGCCTCAAAGTATGCGAGGAAAAGGATTCCTGGAAATTTTGGGGGGAGTGGAGTTTGAGGAGGGGAGTGTACAGGATAGTCCATCCATGCCTGTCCAGGGATGAGAGAGAATCCTGCACTTGTGCAGTACATTAAACAACAACCCACAGAGGTAGGCTACCCTCTCTGGATTCAGAACAATATGCCACCAGAACCTCTACAATAATCCCCCTCCCAATCTGAGATTAGAGGTTCAAAATCTCAGTTGGCATCTAGGGCTTAACACATCAGCACCTCATTCCCAGAGAGGCACACTGAATGCTCTACGGTAGCTTGTGGTCAGTTAGGCACACGAAATAGACTTGGAATCCCAGTTACGACATCAAAGACAGGTTAGAAATAAGAATACGTTTTTATTCAGTCCAGAGCATTGCAAGTAAACCATGAAAGATTTCAAAACAAGAAAGGCTAGGGCTGTTTGCCTTAACTACACAGTAAAAGACGCATATTTATCAAGTTCAGGAAAATCCAAACAGTCCAGAGTAGCACCAAGTCCATTTTAGTTGTTGACCTGTCTGACTAGCTATACAGTGCAGGTTGCAGCAATACAAAAACTTAATTCATATGATAACACAACAATATACTGTACAAACTAAGCTTTTCACCCTTTCCCCAACTTTGTGGTGCCCCCTTCGGCCCTGGTGCCCTAAGCACATGCCTAGTCTGCTTAATGGTTAATCTGTCCCTGAGGCAGGATTCTCTGCATACGCAGAAATGTAATCAAAAGGAATTAACCCGAGGAAAAGAAAAATGTCCTGAGGAAGTCCGGAAAACGCCCCAGGAGCCATGGGATGCTGGAAAAGGTTGAGAGTCAGTTAAAAGAGGAAGGGGAGGGGAGTATTTTGCGAGATGCTAAGAGCTGATAAATCCTGGAGGAAGAGATTTGGAGGGTGGGCGGGATCCTGCATATTGTTTCCCCAACCTGCTATTCCTCGTGGGCTCCCGGCTTGTCATACCCTCGAATGCGCAGATAACAACAGTGGCAGAATGGAGATTACCAGTTGGGGTTGCCTGGCCACCAGCAGGGAGGTGGTGGGGGCCTAGGGTTGCCAACTCCAGGTTGGGAGATTCCTGGAGATTTGGGAGTGGAGCCTAAGGAAGGCAGGGACTCCAGTGGGGCACACTGCCATAGAGTCCATCCTCTGATGCATCCATTTTCTCCAGGGGAAGTGATCTCTGTAGTCTGGAGATGAGCTGTGATCCCAGGGGATCCCCAGGTCCCACCTGGAGGCTGGCATAGATTCCTGGAGATTTGGGAGTGGAGCCTAAGGAAGGCAGGGACTCCAGTGGGGCACACTGCCATAGAGTCCATCCTCTGATGCATCCATTTTCTCCAGGGGAAGTGATCTCTGTAGTCTGGAGATGAGCTGTGATCCCAGGGGATCCCCAGGTCCCACCTGGAGGCTGGCATCTCTACCGCCCAGCCACTTTATTTCACTTGCCATTCCAGAGACGGGGGGAGGGGGGGAATCAATTCCCCGCTGGTCACCCATTGCTACTCGTTACAGTGGATGGATTTCCTAAGCAGGAAACCTCCTCAATCACCAAAAGAGGAATTGCTTCTTCTTCTAAGCATTATAAGCTGCCTTGAGCTACTAGGAAAGGTGGGGCAAGAGTATTTTATTAAGTAAACAGATAGCATTAAAAGAAATGTACAAGGCTGAATTAGATCTGTGGGGCACTTACCATGGGGCTGCTGAAGGCCAGTTGCCTCATGTGGCACGATCCCATCACAAAGCTGCTGCTTCCATGCCCCCGGTGCAAAGACCGGCTACTCAGAAATGTATTTATGTGGGACATCTTCACTCTCGACACGTGCCTCAAAGTATGCGAGGAAAAGGCCACGTCCTCATCTTCTGATTCAGCGTCTTGATATAACTCCAGCCTCTTAGCTAGAGAGGGAGGGAAAAAAAATACATTCGGTTTATGTATATTTTAGCATTTCTATCCTGAGGCCTTGGAGCTTGGTCTATGTTAAAAATGGCCACTTATTTAGCCATGAAACGGGGGTCTGCCATTATGACCCAGCAGCCAACGGAGAAGCAAGTGACAGACTGCAAGGGTAAGTTCAGGTTATCAGAACGTACCAGACGCGCAGGTAAGCCATAGCTTGGAGTTGAAAAAATCTACAGAAATGTGGAACAAAGCATAAAATACACCTGAAACACTGTATTTTTTCCTGCTCTCTTTTGGTTTGCTGGCTAAACAGAAAGGCAGAAGAAAAGCAGATGAGATAGAGATTGATATGAACTTTGGGAATAAAGAATCTGTTCAACTTTGCATTCTTCCCCAAGTGGTAGCAGAGAAGATTCTTGCCTCCCAGACATGGCTGGCAGGCATGGCCTGGCAACTGGCAGGAGTCTGGGGGCACAGACATTGGGGGGGGGTGGGGATATGCCATCAGCGATGGAGTGACATCACTTCCTCGGAAGACCTGGAAGTGATATCATGACTCTTTAGGGACTGCCTGAAACGCTAGTTTCCCTAGGAAGTGACATCACACTGTTGGTCCAATGGCATTTCCCCCCATCTGCCGCCACGCGAAGAGGGGGCGGGAAACAAAAGCTGGGGATGGTGAATCCCCGACCCTGGTGGGAAGATGCCAGCCCTGCCCCCAGAGAAACTTTCCAAAATTTCATTGAAATCAGTAAGTATGCTTATGATGAAACTGAACGAGACGCAAAAATACAACTTTCTCTGAACTCAGCCACAGGTCTGGCTTTTCCCAGCTCATACTGACATACAACACACGCACCCCTTTTCAGTTTCCAACACAAGAAGGATCTCTGTGCCACAATGAATAACTGTAGACACAGACTATGATGGTTGTCACATTTACAGTGGAGCAAACTGTTGACCCCTGTTGTACACATTTTATGAACCACTTTGTATTCTGCCACTGCCTAACAGGTTTGACTTGGTATGTGTGCTTAGCACTTCCATAATGCACATGATTCTGACATCATGAATGTATTCAGGTATTAACTTTGGTTCATTTGTGACTGTTGTTTGAATGCATGCTGGGAAGAAGGCTGAAATGCTGATACACAGTTATGCTACCCATGACCTTGCTTGTTCTGGCCAGCTACAACTGCGCATGTTTCTAATGTGAGTTAACCTAGCTAGAATGAAGAACAGTAAGCACTCTGTAACCATATCAGTTATATAGATACAACATGCAACTTCATAGCTTCCGAAAGAAAAGTGTATCGTTCTGTTAGGAAAAGAAGAACTCTGCCTGGGAACAAACCCCCCCCCCCCAGGTCTTAACCCAATGGGAAACAGG